GTTGCTGGGTTCCATGAGCCTGGTACCTCAGCATCTGCCCTTCCTTCATGCTTGCTCTGAGCACTCCAGATTACAGAAGAGCCAATAATGTGACTGAGACCTGTGTCACCATGGGCAGGCTTCTACTTTACTGGAAAGTCCATTCTCAGAGTCCTCCCCCCTCCTCCCAGGAAGCGCTTTTCAAATAGAATCTTAGTACCCACCTTCCACAATGGCCTTCCAGCTCCAGGCTACAGTGTGCCTGGCCCAGTCACACTGGAACTAGATGTTCATCCGTTTCAGCCTCAGAGCTCAAAGGAGACAATTAACTCAATCCCATGTGCACAATAAAGCATAAGACATAACTACATCACTACTCTTTGTAGAATACTATGGCATCTTTCATAAAGATGGGTCTATAGATTGACAAGCTCTCAGTAAGGGGCTGGGGAAGGATCTGGTGTGGTCTTGGCCTCACAGGTAGCACAGAGGCCACCAGGCTGTTAGCCACCTCTACTCCCAGTCTTCAGGGCAGAAAACAGGTTAGAGGTCTCTCCCCTTGGAGAGACAACCCTGTGAGCTCGACATGCCTGGGTCCCTAAGGCTTATCTGTGAGCACAAGGACTTCTGCCCATCACTGAACTACACCCCGGCTCTCTCTCCACTTTTTCATACAAGATGACATATCACCAAATTGCCCACCTTTGATTTGAATTCCCTCTGTAGGCCAGGCTGGCCTTGAACTCCCTCTCTAGCCAAGGCTTGTGATTGTCTTGCGATCATCTTGCTTTGGCCCCCTAAGTAACTAGGAACACCTGGACCACCAGGCCCAACTATGAAATATTTTCTAGATATCATATATAAAGCTTCACTTGAGATCATGCCCAGGCAGCTTGAAAATACAGAATCTAGGACTAGTAGAATTTTTAAAATACACTTCTGTTTATTAGAGAACACATTCTTTGGCATCTGACATTTTGGCTAGATAATCATATTTTTAATGTTCATAAGAACACTAAATGTATTTACCATTGTGACCATTTTAAATGTGCAGTTGAACATGTTAAACACAACCACAGTGCTGTGCATGGGTCTTGACCACTTTTTAGTATCCCCAAATTACTGCTCATGTACCCTCCTCAGTTTTCTGCTAAACACCTTTTTTTTTTTTTTTGCTTGCTGAGTTGTTTTTGGTTGGGGGGCGACAGGGATAGTTGTTTTGTGGTGCTTGGAATGAAACCCAGGAACTTATGCATGCTAGGCAAGCACACTATCTGTGAGTTTCATCCTCAGCCCCTGGAGTTTTTAAAAAATTGTGTGCCTGGGTGTGGTGGCCCATGACTTTAGTCCTAGCACTCAGGAGGCAGAGGCTGGTGGATCTCTGTTGAGTTCAGAGCCCTCCTGGTCAACATAGTGAATTCCACCCAGGACTGTATAGAGAGACCCTTCCTCAAAACAAACAAACAAACAAGAAATTTAAATCCATGTATGTGCAAATGTGTGTGTGCATGTAAAGACCACGTGGTTAACCTCAGATGTTTTTATTCAGGCCCCATCTGCCTTGTTTATTTTTCTCACCCCAGTATACATGTAAATCAGTAGGAACAAGTCAAGGAGCTGACTTGAGTCCAATAGCTATGTTCTAATATCACACCTTCACTTTGTGGCCTCAGGTACATTTAAAAAAAAATCCCCTCCATACATGAATGCATTTTATTTTGATCAAATTCACCCTTTACTCCCTCCATCTCCAATTCTCCAAAGCCCCTCCTTCTACTTCCTCCTACCAACTTCATGTCTATATATGTAGGTGTATATAACCTATGGGATTCAATTACTGTTATGCGTGTATGCTCACAGGCACACACACACACACACACACACACAAAGCTGTTCACTGTAGTGTGAGAAATCTAGCAGAGGTTCCATCCCTGAAGGAAACTGATTTTGTCTCCCCTTACAGCTTCCCAATAGGAAGTGGGGCCCTGGGGACCCATACTGGATCACTGACTAGATTGATCTTTCACAGGTCTTGGCAGGCAACCATGATTGCCAAGAGTTCCAGAATGCAAATGACTATTGTGCCTGGAAGACAGTTTTACAGTGTCTTCCCAACTTCTGGTTCCTACCATCTTTCCTTCCCATCTTCTGGGGTGTTCCATGAGCCTTGTGGGGAGGGGTGTTGTGGACATAAGTTTCTGTCCTGACGGGTCCCACAGCTATCTAGTCCCAAATAAACACACGGAGGCTTATATTAATTATAAACTGTTTGGCCGATGGCTCAGGCTTCTTATTGGCTAGCTCTCTCTTTATTATTAACCCACTTTTTTTTTTTTTTTTTGGTTTTTCGAGACAGGGTTTCTCTGTGTAGCTTTGGAGCCTATCCTGACACTCACTCTGGAGACCAGGCTGGCCTCAAACTCACAGAGATCCTCCTGCCTCTGCCTCCCGAGTGCTAGGATTAAAGGTGTGTGCCACCAACGCCCGGCTATTAACCCATTTCTATTCATCTAAATATCTCCATGTGGTCTTGGCTTACCAGAGAATACCTGGGCATCCTACCTTCAGGTAGTTAGATGTCATTTCCTTGACTCCACCGACTACCTTTCTCTATCCCTGTTTGGATTTCCCAACTGGCGAAATCCTGCCTGTCCATTGGCTGAAACAGCTTTATTCATCAACCAATAACAGAAACATATATTCACAGCATACAGAAGGACATCCCCCATCAGGGTATAAAGAGGTCCCCCCCCATTCAGAGACCCACTTTATTTTCTGCACTTTGATCATCTCTGATTCTCTGGGCTTGCCTCCACCCACTGCAGAAAGAAGCATCTCTGATGAAAGGTAAAAGCTGAACTAAGCTATGCAGATTAGATAAGTACTTAGAAGTTCTGCTTCTGGATACTTTATAGGCATGATTGTAGTAGATTCTCCCAAGGGTTTATGATCTCTCTAATCATAGGTTTTTGGCCAGGTTTATAGTTCCAGGGTGAGTTCCTTCCTATTGAGTGGATCTTAATCTCATCAGAAAGCTATTGGCTACCCCTTGTGACAGTCATGAACTTATTGCACAAAAGAACTTATCTTGACAGGAAAGTCATTATTTTAGTTGGCAAGGCTGACAGCTGGGTGACGCTGTCATCCCCTTCTCTCTCCTCATAGCCTGCCTCGCATGTTGGGCTGAAAGCTGGCCATCAAGGAAAGATGCTTCCAGTTCAGTGCCAGTTTGGTTTCTCCAAATCTTGTGACCAAAGTATATGGCAAAAAGAAGCAAAACAAAGGGAAGAAGGGGAGGGGAAGGAAAAAGAATAGAAGGGGAGCAGAAGAGGGGAAATGAGAGGGAAAAGGTGCTGGCTAGTCTAATGTCAACTTGACACAACCTAGAGTTATCTTAAAGGAGGGAAATTTAGAGAAAGCCTCCATAAGATCCAGATGTAAGGCATTTTCTTGATTAGTGGTTGATGGGGGCAGGCCCAGCCTACAGTGGGTGGGTCAATCCCTGGGCTGGTTGGTGGTGGTGGACTCTATGAGAAAGCAAGCTGAGGGGGGTTGGAGAGATGACTCAGAGGTTAAGAGCACTGACTGCTCTTCCAGAGGTCATGAGTTCATTTTCCAGCAATCACATGGTGGCTCACAAGCTCTAAAAATAAGATCTGGCGCCCTCTTCTGGCATGCAGGCAAACATGCAAGTAGAACACTGTATCTGTAACAAAAATCTTTAAAAAAGAGAAAGAAAGCAGGTTGGGGGGCAGTAATCAGCTCCTGCCTCCAGGTTCCTGCCCTGGAGTTTCATCACAGCAATGAGGGGAGCTTGCAGGCTCCAGTCTTACCTTTGGTCCTGTGTTCCTGCATGTCTTTAATGCTAAGCTTAGCACTTATGTGGAACATCTTTCTCATCCTCTTGACAACCTCAGTCACTATTATCACATTCCTGTGAACGATGAGAAGATGAGCTCTCAGAGAAGTTAAGCTACCTACCCAAGGTCACACAGTAAATGGCCAGGATAAGATATTTGGTATAAATGCCCTCTACCAATGGCTTTGCCTTATACTCCTGCTGTCTAGGAGTCTCTGGTTCCTCTACAATCTAAACCCTGAGTCATCTGGAAAGGGCCCTAGAAGCAAGCTGAAGAGCCTCACCTGCCCTGCCTCCCAGCTCTCCTGTCCTGCTTTGAATTCATGACAACATTGTTCTTGTTCCCACTCCAGGGCCAATAAGCTGTGGCTTGCCTGGCTGCCTCTGAGTCACTGAACCTGGCAGACAGTGCTAAACTAATTTTCCAGGATCGTTGGGAAGCATTTGGCTTCTGTCTCCCCAGCTAAGAGCCCTGCAGACAGTGGCAGCCGGCTGTCAGGACCCAGGGCTCCCTGCCTGGTCCAGGAGAGCTCAGCCTGCCATGTGATCAGATCCTGATTGATGAAGTGGCCCTGACTTAAAGAAGGCCCTGTGCTGCTGGGTCACGCTTTGGAAAATGGGTACCAAACCACAAGGATGCTGCTAGAACGTGCATGGAAATGGAAGCAGATGGAGAAAACCATTGCTAGTTTTTACAAAGATTCAGGCTAGGACTGTAACTGGATAGTAGAGTAATAGCACATGTATGAGGCTCTGGGCTCCATGAAAAAACAAAGGGCAAAGCCAGGGCTCTCACCACACATGCAAACAACCTAACCTTCCGATAACACATAAACACATCTCTACCATCAAAGGGAATAAGAGATAGTTTACTCTACAGACAAGAAAGAGAGATTGTGACCTAGGAATGCAGTTTAGGTTACACCAAATTCCATGTCTCTGTACCATGTCTCTGCCTGATGCCTGAAGAGGACTGCAAAGGGCATCAGATCCCCTGGGACTGCAGTTACAGACCATTGTGAGCCATCATGTGGATGCTGAGTGGAACCTGGACCTCTAAAAGGGCAACCAGTGCTCTTAACCACTGAACCACCTCTCCATGTCCAGTGGAAGAAGTCTTATAAAGATTTTCTTTAGGGGACGCTGCAGCATCACGGAGCGCCCTCGGTCTTCTCCCCTCCCACCCTCCTTCCTCAGCTTCCGCTTCCTCCCAGGCCCGCCCTGCGCAGCCAGCAGGGATTGCTGCCCAGAGCTCCTCCGGAGCCTCAGGTGGCAAATTCTTTTTTTTTTTTTTTTTAGATTTTATTTATTTATTATGTATACAACATTCTGCTTCCATGTATATCTGCACACCAGAAGAGGGCACCAGATCTCATTACCGATGGCTGTAAGCCACCATGTGAGCACCATGTGGTTGCTGGGAATTGAACTCAGGACCTCTGGAAGAGCAGGCAGTGCTCTTAACCTCTGAGCCATCTCTCCAGCCCCAGGCAAATTCTTACTCTGTGGGAAATAGAAGAGTGTTTGTAAGCAGAAAGTATGCCTCCCAAGTTCAAGCGACACCTAAGTGATGATGATGTCACTGGGTCTGTGAAAAGTGAAAGGAGAAATCTTTTGGAAGATGATTCAGATGAAGAGGAGGACTTTTTTCTACGGGGACTGTCTGGACCAAGATTTGGGCCTAGAAATGATAAAATTAAGCATGTTCAGAATCAGGTGGATGAAGTTATTGATGTAATGCAAGAAAATATTACAAAGGTAATTGAAAGAGGAGAGAGACTAGATGAACTGCAGGACAAATCAGAAAGCTTATCGGATAATGCAACCGCTTTCAGCAACAGATCCAAACAACTCCAAAGGCAAATGTGGTGGCGTGGATGCAAAATAAAAGCCATCATGGCTTTGGCTGCAGCTATCCTTTTGCTATTGATTATCACTCAGATCATCCTGCACTTGAAAAAATGAAGTTTACCACCATCAAAACTATCATCATTTAACAACAGTGAAGATCAACAGAAGCATTCAAGTAGCTTTGCTAATGTTAGTTGATGCCCAGTGAAATCAGGTCACTACTTCCATGCCTGAAGTGTGCCCTTGTGATTTGTCCAAAACAGAAGTCTTTTTCCCTTGCAGCAGTTTGTGATGAGTGGGTTCTTCCTCCTGGTCATAGCTCAGTAGCACCTGTGACCTTGGATTCCTTTATCCTAACAAAACCCATTGGAAATTGTCCCAAAGTTTTATAAACTGGGAAATACACTGAGTAAAAGAGGGTCCAGTATTGGTGATGGAACATTGTTTAAAATGGAGAAAGAGTAATACATGTCAGGTACAGGGATTCCTGGGACTGTCATTACAGTTCATTCCTGGGCTCCTGGGCTCCTGGGCTCTGTGTTAGAAAGTACTGTTGGCCTTTTAATAGCAGAATCTACACTTCGTGTTCTGGGTAGCATGCCGGTACCCTGTAAACACACACACACACACACACACACACACACACACACACACACACACACACACAGGCTGAGGATCAGACGTGGAAAGAGTTTGATATCTCTCCTTGCCACTTCCACGTGTTCTATGTCCTTGTCAGCACTGTAGCCCAAACAGACTTGTATTCACATCTTGTATATACTTTATGGTTAGAAAATATGCAAGAGGTCTTTTTAGTGTTGAACATAAATGTCATTAGTTGTATTGAGTCAGAGCGTTTCTAAGTTAAGGACTATACTATCAATCAAATTTTGTGTTTTGCCATAGAAATGTTATTAGAGTCAGTTTTACTTTTCTGTGAGTAGTACTAAGAACATGAGTCAATCTAAACATGTTTTGGGAAGGCAGTTGCCATAGAACAGTATAAAGACAATGGGTCAGAAGGAGCAAAAAAGGGCCATCTTAGTCCATACAAATGCCACCTTCCCTTAGACTGATGGAATCTGAGCCTATTTTGTGTGTCTTGGTTTTGAGACTATGTGGCCCAGGCTGGCCTCAAACTCAGAGAGCCACCAGCCTCTGCCTCCCAAGTGCTGTGATTAAAGGTGTGTGCCACCATGCCCTGCAGGCTTTTTCTTTTTGATCAAAGAAAGAATTCTTGGGCTCAAGTGATCTTTCCAATTTAGCCTCAAAAGTAGCCGAGACTACACGTGGGCACCACCATGTGCAGATGGGCCTTCTCTTTAAGCCTGATGTCAGTCTTAATCTGGTATTTATTTTCATATGTCAGGTAGAATAAGGGATGGGAGCACACTTTTATTCTGGCTCATGTTTTATTTTACAAAGCTACTTAGAACAAGTGAGTATGGATGATGAAAAGAAAAACATTGCTAATCCAGTTGGGATAAGTGTAAACTTGTGAAGCAAGGGCCATGTCCTGTTGTGTCTCTCAGCACTGCAGTACCCTGGCAGACCCTAGACAAAGGTGGGGGGAGGGGTTTTGCTCTAGAAGTCACACCGTGCTGGTGAGAGCTGATTTCCAATGTGTACTGAGAGGTGATTAGGTGATTACCTGGAGATAAACATGTTCTTGTTATAATTGAGTATAGAAAAATTCTGGTTTTACAGTGTTGCATTAGCTTCTTTTCACTTGAAAAGATTATGAAATAAAATCATGTTATTTTAAAACTGTAAATTGTATATGTCTGAGGATTTAGTAAAATATTAGTGATAAGAAAACTCAAGCATTGTTTTTATGTCTTAGTTGTATGTCATTATTTTACATCCCGAAATCCCTAATTTAACCATTTCGGCAAGTGCCTTTGACATTTAAGGAGTATGATGGGAGATGAGCAATGTTAGATGCCATGCCCCTTTTCCTGGCTTCTCAATTCCTCATGACCATTTATGTTTTACAGTGCTACAAAGTTCACTCCTTTGTTTTCATAAGGAATGTATTTGTAGCTTCTCCATAGTAAACAGCAAAATAAACCATTTTGTAGAAAATGAAAAGTAAGTATTTTGGCTTGTTCAGTGTGTGTATCCTATTGACTTAACTTCAAAGCAGAACACCTGTACAAGCACCTTGGTTTCATTGGTCCCTGTTTTCCACTAAAGTACATGGAGTAAAAGTAAAACCTATCTGAAAGAATTTCTCAATGTACAACACCAAATGTCAACAGCCGGGAAGTGATTGGGGTATTTATGCTTATTCTCATTGGTGTCCATTTCAAAGAGAGGAAGGAGCACGAAGCCCACTTAATAATTCAGTCCCAGTCAGAGCTGGGCATGGTGTTATATGCCCACGATCCAGCACTCACGAAGTGGAGACAGGTGATCAGGGAAGGGAGTAGTTCAAGGCCAGAAACAATTGCATAGTTTGAGGTCAGCTTGGGCTACAAGAACCTGTCTTTATAAAAACAAACAAGTAGTCCCAATCAGAACACCTGGTACCTGTTCCTCAACAGTGTGGTGCTGTCTTTTATAAAAAGCCTGAGTAGTGATCATGTCTCCAGCCTCCAGACCCTAAATGCCATCTCTGTAGTACTTGGGGTTATAAAGTGTTATCGACAGGGATGGAGACAGAAAACATTCTAAGAATGACGCTGGGCTGGAGGGATAGCTCAGCCATTAAAGGCTAGGCTCACAACCAAAGATATAAGAATGACACCATTTAATATCTAATATTTCACTTTATGAGAGAACCAGTCTAGCAGGCCAGGCTTCCCTAAGTCCAACAGTCACACTTAGGCACAGCATGCCCTTTAGATGTTAAGCACTGCTGTAAAGCAGTCACTCTACTTCCTTGCTGTAGGTACATGAAGGGATTTAGTACACTGGTTGTGTGAGAGGGCCATATTTCATCAGAGCATGTCTATAAAGAGAGCACGTGAAAGCACTAAACTTGGGAAGGAGAATGCTCGATTGATCTTGCAACATAAAAACTTGCTGTTTACTCCACTTAAAAACGGGGGCCAGGGAGTTTGTACATTGAGTAAGAGTGCTTGCCCTGCAAGCATGAGGACCTGAATTCAAATCCCCAGTACCAAAGGGGAAAAACAACAGGCATGACTTCGTGTATCTGTAACTCCTGCATTGGGGAGCAGAGAGGCACATGGGTTCCAAGATCTCACTATCCAGCCACTCTAGACAAAAGGGTCATCTTCCAATTTATTGACTCTGAAAGCAGTAAGGTAGAGAACCAGCAGGAGACAGCTGAGGTCTTGCTCTGACCACTGTGTAACTGACATGCTGGCACCACACAAATACATAACCCCATCATCATCTTAGCCCACTTGTCCTGTCACCTACCCATCTTTGACCTGTGTTGAATTTTTTGTTCATTCTCACAAACTACTTAAGTTTTACATACATACCTCACCCAGTCTTACTCTCAGGAAGGTCACCAGGGTGTCAACCTCTGTGTTGACAAATCCAGAGGCCCCTATTCTGCCTATTCTGTTTATTAGCATGTGTTAGTTGGTAACTCCACTTCTGAAGGTCCTTTTTACATTGCTGGTTGACACTCATCCCCCCAACCCTTGACATTGTAATACTCCTGGATTCAACTCTTGGTCCTCTTTGAATACACTTCCTTAGTAATCTTACCTAATATTACCATGTAACATCTTTGTTCTGACATATACCAAGTTCATGTCTCCCTGACTTGAAATTGGACTCATGGAATATTCCATTTGTCATGTATTATCATTTCAGATTCACATGCCCAAAATACAATTCTAATACCAAGTATGGTGGCACATGCCTGTTATGTCCATGAAGTCTGCTCTGAATGCCCCATCAATTCTCTGTACGCCTCTATTCTTCTATAATTATTTATACTTGTTACCTTCATTCCAAATGTAACTTTCATAAAAGGATGTTTGTCTCTTGTTCACTCGTATCTCCCAAACCACTTGGCATAACAGCAATAATTACTGTTGAATGGTTCCATTATCATGAAGATACAAAGACCATAATTTTGAAAATTATATACAGAAGATAAATTGATTTTAGAGTATGTCAGCAATAGGATGAAAGACATGGCCTCTATAATTCAGAAAGTCATAGATAAAAGAGGTAAAAATGGAATTATATGATGAAAGCAACTTAGGTCAGCTACAAGGAAAATGAATTAAAATGACTTGTTAGCAGTGGTTCGCAACCCCTTTGGGGATGTTCAACGACCCTTTCACAGGTTGCCTAAGACCACCAGAAAGCACAGACATTTACATTACAATTCATAACAGTAGCAGGCTTATAGTTATGACGTGGCAACAAAATTAATTTTATGGATGTGGGTCACCGAAACATAAGGATCTGTATTAAAGGGTCTCAGCAATAGGAAGGTTGAGAACCACTGCTAGAGGATGCTGGAAAGATGACTCAGAGAGTAAGAGCACCTAGTCTGTAAGCATAAGGGTCTGGGTTCAGACTTCCAGAATCCACATAAAGAGCCAGAGAAAGTGAGTATTTACGACCCAGCACTATGGCGAGCAGTTAACAGGTGGATCAGCACAGCCAGCCTAACCAAAATAAACCCTATCTGAAGACAATGAAGTGGAGAGCAATAAAGCAAAACACCCAGTGTGCGCATGCACCACACATACTGAGTACATGCACACCACACAACACACGCACTAATAGTCATTTGCTAGAAAGGAAAAGCAACTGCAATATGCATATTATCTCCTACACAGAAGTCAGGGATAGAATTGCTTGAGAAAGTGGTATAAGAGAGAGTCTAGTCAAGCAGTGGTGGGGCACACCTTTGGTCCCAGCACTCAGGAGGCAGAGGCAGGTGGTTCAAGGCCAACCTGGACTACAGAGTGAGTTCCAGGGCAGCCAGAGACACACAGAGAAACCCTGTCTCAAACAATCAAAGAGAAATAGAGGGAGAAGTTCTAGAGGCTGGAAGGGGAGATAATTGGATCTTTAAAATTACTGAGAATTGTGTGGAGTTCTAAAACTAGTAGAAATGAGCATCATGTTTTCCTTTGATTAAAGCTTCAATTTTGAGAAATTCATCCCAGATAAAAAGATTGTGTCAA